AGCATTTAAATAATTAGCTTTCACAGTTAACACCCTATTAAGCCAAAGGAGGAAGTTCACACCTCTCCTGGTGTTATTGTTCCAGTCAGGCTGGCTGCAGCAGCGGAATGACGCTAGTGCCTTGGTTTGTGTTGAGAAGGTTATCTTTGCAGCCAGAAGGGGTAGAAAGAAGAAATTTCATTTATAGGAAAGGAAGAAAGCACAATAAAGCAAAGCCTCTGGGAAGATTACAACGCTGTGGGTTCCAGGAGTTGCTTTATGTGTGGATTTTTTTAAACTGTCTTTCCCACTTTCAATTGGGCAAATGATTCTGCTATATTGAACAAGACAAAGCATTAAAATGAAATAATGTGCTTGTAATATTATGTGACTTTTTAGAAATCTTACTCATCAAATGTAATTAATGCAATTAATTTCCCTTCAAGTTTGTGGCATAAAGAAGAGTGTGTCATGGAGGCACTGCTCTGTGGGTAACCTTGGCAGATGCTTCCATAGGCAGGAGAAGGTTTGTAGTGCTGCTTGTGCCTTTTGTTACCCTCACAGGATGCCAGCCTGTCTAGCTAAGGTGACCTCTTTAGCATGTGTGTTCTGCTGCTGGAAAGACAAATCCCTTCCAATGCCTTGAATCTACACTAAACTTTGTGGCACTTTGTGCTGTTAAAATCAGGGGAAGCAGGGTTGGTTGGTTCCAGTGGGAGTAATAGCTGTGTTCCCTTTCCTTGCACACCGCCATGTGATGGCTGATTCTGCTGTAGTAGCAGGTACAAAATTATTTCTTTTGGTTTCTTATTTCTTGATTATTTTTTCCTGATGATTTAATGATCTGAAATGGAATTACTAAAGGACAAACCTCTCCCCCACCAGAGTTCTCTGTCCTAACGTAAGTTTACAGAAGAATCTACTAGCAAAATCTCAGCTCTGCTCTGTGGGGCCACAAGGAACTCAGATCAGATGATGGCCTTTGTGATCCTTAAGTGACCATAAAATATCAAAATCCTGAATTCCCCAGACTAATTTGCAAATGGATATATTTGAACTGCACATTAGCAAGCTAATGCTCATTTGACTTTTTTTTTGTATATTTGTATCAGGGAGCAAAGCTGGATGTATGGTGGTGGAGAAGGAAATATTTGGCTCAGCTCCAAAGTTCACAACTTTTTTTGTATTACAATTCCAGAATCAGCATTTGCCTGGGAAATACTTTCCCATCCCACCCTAAGCTTCCGCTTGCTTTTCCTATGGTTGAATTTGCAATGTCAATTTTTTTTTTTAATCAAAAAATAAATGGCCAGCTAACAGTAACTAGGAAATTATCCTTGAATTCTTATATTTTGTGACAGAACTTGTAAGAACAATAACCCATGAGAGCAGTGCCTGGGCCAATTCAAGGAACGTCTATGGGTTGTTATGGGGTTAGGAGGCATACTGTGTCCAAAAATACTGCAATAAATTTCTTACATGTACGAGATGGCCCCCAGTAACATAAATTTCTGAAGACACCAGAATATTTTAAGAAGTATGTGGGTTTTCTCTGTTTTAGACAAAACACATAGTAACCTTTTCCTACAGAAACCAAGAAAAATTAGGGGTTGTTGCTTGTCTGTGTGGCCACTTCAGCCTTCAGGGGACTGTATTCTTGTGATGGGGAAAATGTATGAGATGGTGTGATTCCTTGAGTGTTGCTCCCTGGGTGAAGTTAAATGATTTAGTTGTGGCTGGTCCTTGTGGCTTTGGATAAGAGGCAAGGAGGACAAAAAAATCAAGTTTGTGATGGAAATTTCATGAAAAAAAGGTCAAATGCTCCTTCTCTCCCAAGAGAGCTGCAAGAACGTCAGTGTGAGGTCTGTTGTTTTTTTTTTTTTTTCTTTAAGAAAATATTTACTGCTTCTTTTCTACATTCCTTACACAGTCTAAACAACATTGAAGCCAAGGAGAGCTGGGTCTGGATCATGAACTTATTCAGGTTTTTTAGAGTTGAGTTGTGAAATTGCTGATATAAAAACTTTTTCTTTATTTTTATTCTTTTAAGCCATTCACTTAGAGTGCACTTAAACTGAGGCAATTTTCTCATCATCTTTAGAATTGCTCATGTTAAAATCATTCAACACTCAAGGATAGCTCTATTCATTGGGGGTTGTGGACTCGCACCCTCTTTCTGTTCCCCTTTGTGCCAGGTAAGAGATCTTGCTGCCCTCAGTTCTGGGTGTTTGCTGTTTGTCACTGTCTCCCTGGCCAGACACCATCCTCTCACCTGCCTGCCCAGCCAGGTCAGCCAGAGGTGCTGCTCCCTGAATGTCTGCCTGTTCACTTTGGTTGAAGATGCTCTGGGGTGTTTGCCCTGGCATTGGGCAGGGAAGGGGACACTTGTAATTGAGGCCTGTGACAAGAAGCCAGTTGGCAGGCACTAACCTTTTCCCCTGGCACAGCTGTTTGTGGAGCGCCCATCTGCTCAGGACTGTGGAAAAGCTGGCTGGATCAATGTAAATCACTTAAACCTCGACTCATGGCCCTGTTACCAGCAAGGTGCCACTCCTCTAAATGCCATGATTAATAGCCAGAGTCTGGGGAGGTATTTTGCCCATGAGAGCCTACAGCAAACTGATTATAGAAGAAATCAGAAAATTGAAAGGAGAATTGGGGAAATGTTCTGCTAACGCAGACTTAACAATTTGAGAAATTGCTCAAACAACCGATTTTTAGCATTCGTTAATGCCTTCCGGCATTGCAGCATTCCTGTCTCAGGCAGGTTGTTCTGCAGGGGTCAACAAATCAATGTCCTGAATGCTCTGTTTCTCCCACAGTGGCAGTGGGTAGAACAGGGTCATGCATGTGTGGGACTGTGCAAGAGTCTGAGGCAGCTCTTGGGGAGGAAGGCTGGGAGATGGGTTACGCAGGAAGGTACTGCACAGACCCCCCAGCATGGCTGGATAAAGTAGGTTGCCTTTAGAAACCCTGCCCTGCACCAGAAAAGCAGGGTCACACATGGCTGCTCAGGCCATCCCTCTCATTACTGGCTCATTATGTTGTTCCTTTTCCAGGCTGGGGCAGAGACATGCCACAGTATCCCAAGAGTGTTCTGGTTTTGCCTAGATTTAAATATGCTGGGATCTGATGCCCATTGTACATGCTGTCTGTTGCAGCTACAGTCTGACCCTGTGTTCTCAGTATTCACCTTGCATTTCAGAGGTTTGCTGGTAAAGTGATGCCTGCAAACCCAATGGTGAAGATTTATGTCAGAAATGTGATAATGGATTTAAAAAGATCCTGTAATGGAATAAATTGTATTGACAGAATGACTTATTTCCCCTTTTATAATTACATTTTTATTATCTTTTTTTTTTTGATAGCATAACTGTGGGGGAAGAAACAAAATTATATCCTATATGGCATAGCAATATCAGCAGAAATCCTGCCATAAGAAAAAATAAATCCCTACAATTTATTTTAGAGGTCAAGAACAGTCCAAAGTTACTTTTCTTTTAAGTTGCTAGATGCTGCCTAAATGTTAGGCTGCTTTTTGTCTGCAGCAGACCCAGAGCACCCATGCAGACACAGCAAGCTGGACCTCATGGCTCACATTCAGTGTATGAGCTTGGCCATGATAACCTGGTTATGTCTGGAGATTCAGGCTGAGGGCTGAGGATTGCATAGTGAGGATGCGTGGGGAAGGTGGTACTGCTGCCTGCCAGCCCTTCTCCTGCTCCCTTTGCTCATCAGTCAAATCCTGGGCTGCCTCAGCTCACAGATGTAATTTTAAGGCAACACAGGACTGGTGATCCTTGTCTGAACACACTGTGCTCTGGGCTGTGGCTGTTCAGATGCAGCCTGATGAGCAGCTCAGGTACACAGGGGTGAAGGAGAGAGGAGGTGGGCAGGAGGGACCGCACCAGCTCTGCCCTCCCACCCATCCATCAAAGCCATGAGGTGTTTTTCAGGAAATAGATGTGACAGCTCTGCTGCTTCAAGGACACTTCTGGTGTCACAAATTCTGTGGCTAAACCAGGAAATCACTCCATATATACTCAAGATGAAAGATATTTGAGTGTGGTTCTTCTAAGCTGATGAGTACAGTATAAGGTGAAGTCACTTTGCGTGTGTTTTGTTGGGTCTGACTCTCCCAACCTGTCACATTTCAGAACATCTGAGGGCTCAATGTCCCACCAAAATACAGCAGGTGGCTGTGCTGACTGAAAGGGTAGCTTGGGGTATAGGTAGTAAAACTGCCTATAGATGAAGCTGTTTGCAATACAGAAATCTGAGGTGTTCTTACACAAGAGGTTCCTTGTTTCTTTAGCTGGATAAACTCCTAGCTCTGGTTTTGACCATTCAGGGGATTGAACAAGTTTGATACAAAACTTTAAAGTCTAGCAAAACTTGCTGTTTTTAAGTGATTTAAGTCGTGTTAATTGGGTGAGGTTGCTGCTTTCTTCTATTGTGCTAGTAGCAAAGAATTTTTGATAAAACATCTCCTGCTACCATTTATTTCTGGAGATGATTTTCATGGCTAGTGGTGATGTTTGTTTGTGAAGATTGACATCATTTTGCTTACAAAGAATTTTCCAAGTGTGAGATGAGGGATAAATGTGCTTATTTTGTTTAGTCTGACCTGACCTTATGTAATATAATGGAAGAAGAGGGAGACCTTATTTTTTTTTTTATTGCTTAGGAGTCATGATATCTTGTTACAATGTATGGAAAAGTGGAGTTCCTTAAATGTCTCTGTTTTGTCAGGACTAACAGTAGCGTGACTATAACTATTTACTAGTGGATTTTACTGCATGAGGGAAAATAAAGTATGTTGTATTTAGCATTTTTCCAAACCCAGTAAGGTGTACCTTATAGGATCTGTCCAAAACCACTCCAGGAGTTAACTAGAATGCTGAAGTTTAAACATTCCTTGAATGGTCATCCTATTTGATCTCAAGTGATCCATGCCACTTTCCTGCTTTTTGTGATTTAAACCTGCCTGCTTCCAATATATTCCTCTTTCTTATTTTTAGCAATTAATCAGAATGAAGAAAGCAACAGTCAAGAAGTACGAGGAGTAGAAGATCTCAAGGATACCTCTGATGCACAGGTACATGTGTAAGATTATTGGAGTCTTGGGAATGTTTCCGGATCTACAAGCTGAAGAACTGCTTTCAATAGCTCTGGGAAATGGTTTTTTTTCGATGTTCTGTGCAGGGAGCATGTAGGAGGGAGCAAGTCTGCTTGATCCCATCTTATGTGACTATTTAGAATAAGATTGATGATTATTCTGGGAATTAATCCCGTGATGTTGCAATTGGACAGCATTCTTCAGCTATCTTTCTGCTCCTTTTAGATAATGCACATAGCACATACCAGCTGTGAAAGTAAAATGAGATGTGTTTTAGGAGGCAAGGGCATGCGACATTTTGATTGAATTTTAATCACTGTAAGTAGACATGCAATGAAATAGGGATACTTATTAGTCACTCAAGTGCAAGAAACAACCTTCTTCTTTTTTTTCCTAACTGCCCTCATTTACAACCAAAGCACTCTTCTGGATATTGCTCAGAAGAAACTAAACTGCCTTTTAGAGTATTTTATTGTGGGATTGCTTACCCTTTTTAATTCTGTGAATCTTTTTAGATTAATCTGCAATTCATTCAATCATTCCATTCATGCGTTCAAGCTGTGCAAGTGTAACTGTATTGCTCATTGTACTGGTACTGATTATTGCTTTTAATTTAAAATTGATTTTTCCCAGTCTTGACTGGTTTTTTCTCCTTCTGTTTCTCTTGCAAATGTTATGTTCCCCACCAGTTGCCACCTTTTCTCCTTTCTCTATATGCAGCTTGCAGTTCCTGCCTCTGATTTATCTCCCTAACATCTTGCCAAACTGAAAAGTCATGTGCAAGAAAGACAGGATTTATGCTGATGTCTGTGAGCAAGCCTAGCTGAAAGGGTACAAGCCATGTAGCCAAGAGTGCATTACAGAGAAATAGGAAGGGCCCAGAGGGAAACACTGACCTCACTGCACAAAAAATTTAGATTTCTGTTTTTTCATTGGATTTTTTGGGGGGGAGGCAGGAGGGGAAGGATTTAATATATTCTTAGTTGCTGTAGTTATTGCAATTTTTTAAAAATGTTTGTTCCCATTTATGACATAGACAATGCACATACAAAGGTCCTATGTAGCCAGCTAATAAGATTTCCCTGAAATAATTATAAAATCCCATAAAAATTTATTATTGGGGTATTGATTCACCCAGATTTTAACTGACTGGAAATCAGCCTCTAAAATTTGAAATAATATGAAGCACATTTAAAATTGTACAATTATTAAATGAGCAGTTAACAAAAGCGTTCATGTGCTCTGCTGGGAGGAGAGCAGGAGTGTTATCAAAGCAGGGCTTGCTCCAGTTTGTTAGCACCATAAAAATGACATCCAGTGAAGGCCAAATACAGTTTGTTTTAAGGAGTGAATGTTTTTTTTTTCACTTTAGTGGGACTGTGCATATGACTGGAGCAAAGCAAGGCATCCTGTCTTTTGAGGCAGTGGCACATGGTTTTAAGTTTTCAGGTTGATTAAATGTGAAGCCAGTAATAATTATATTTTTTCACCAGCTACAGAAAGAGAGAGGTATGTGATGAAAGAAAACCAAACCACCACCAACCTTCTGTTAATAGAATTGAAGGGTGTGGTGCCTGCTCTAAACACTGCTCTGTGGGAGAGAAGCTTGATTTACACTTGAGTTAGTAGACAAAACTGGTAGTATGGAAAAAAATTGGCAAGGGGATTTTCAAAAGCAAACATGCTGTAAACAATGTAAATTATGTAAATAAATGATCCCATCTTGTCTTCCTAGGGATGTGTTAATTCACCTCTGTGTCATTGCTAGATGCTCATTTATGACCTATGCAGAGGGAATATTTTCCAATGGATATGCTGAAAGAAAAAGTATGTCGTCAGCATCTTCCTTTTTCCACCCTCAGTGGGTGGACTAATTAGTGACTAATTTGCTTTCATTTCCATTAAACTTTTAAATATTTCATTTCAAATGTTACATAAACACATTTAATTATAGTAATTTTGAGCCATGAATGGTAGTAAAGCTTTACTATAAGGTACATTCTTTTATCATTCATTAAGGTAAAGCCAGTTAAACTATGAAAATTTTTGATTTTCACCTTCACTTGTTAGTAATTGATCTGTTTTGGTCTACACAAATTAGAGGTCTAAGCACCAACAAAGGTTTTGGAGGATGTGTTCCTGCACAAAATGAAAATCAAAATTGTGCTTTGCAAGTAGGGTGAGTTGCCTTTTGTCTAACAGCTTCCAAAGTATTGCCTGAACATTAAATTTGTATTGAGAAGTGAAAATGACCAGTAATTGGAGACTGTCAACATTTTCCTAACCAGGTTTTAGAAACTGTCATCAATTAATTATTTAATTGACCTGGATGTTTTCTTACAAATATTTAACAGAAGGATTTGTAGTGAAAAGTCAGTATAAGTGAGGAAATCAGAACTAAAAGTAAAGGATTCATAGATTTTTTTCTTAATTATAAAAAATCAGGTTTAGTCTTTTGTGTTTCAAATGCATTCTTTACTCCCAGAGCTAAACATATGCGATTAATTTAATATTACCTTAACCCTCCCAGAAATTTTTTATCCTCTGGAGACCTAATTAAATAAGATTTTTTTTCATGTTCTCTGCATCTCTTTAAATTAAAGAACTGTGACAGGAGGAGGGGACATGTTAAAATGTAGTATTTCTACTTGGTGGTTATTGTAGGTCATGGACTACCTTATCTGGACACAAGTCCTGGTTCCAGCCAGGACAGGGTTAGTTTTTGCAATAGCCAGGACCCAGAGGTTATTCTATACCACCTCACGTCACTGGTGGGGGCAGGAGAAGGAACTCTCTTCCAGGCTGGGTTATTGTGGAGGAGGGATTGGTTGGGTACTGTCTGTTGGCGAGGGGTTTCCATGTGAATCATTCCTTATTTGTACCCTATATGTCATTATTATCGTTGCCCTTACTGTTTGTTTTCTTATCTAATTGCTGTTTTCAGTAAATTGTTCTTGTCTCAACCTATGATCTTTACCTTTTGTGACTCCAATTCTCCTCTTCAGCTACTCAAAGGAGGTGGGGGAGGAGAAGGGTGAGGGAGCAAGTGGCTCCTCATTTATTCTTAGTGGAAGCACTGAACTGGGAAGTGCCATTCCTGAACCAGGACAGCACAACAGGAAGGTGCAAAAAGTGCCTCCATAGTACTAAGAGCCCAGATCCAGAGACAGCCAAAATCTTTATCATCCCAAAATCCTAGTAGGTGATAACACTTTGGAGTTGTCCTTAGCCTACATGACACTGATGTAATGAAGAACATTACACATTACTCTGCTAGAAGCATCCTGCAGCCATGAAATAAGCAGGCTTGATGTAGTTGATATTCCCAAGCACTCAAAGTGTTGGAAGTGCAGACGTCAGGCCTTCCAAGTCTTAGGTTCCCTGTGCAAATTACTGGAGATAAATGAGAATATTAGGAAACAACTGATCTGACCATTTTTAAGTGTCTACGGTAGAGTAAAAAAAAAGTCTCTTCCTAAATACTCCTTTTTCTCTATTGATTAAACAACTCTGGACAACTACTTCACTATATTCTTCCACATTTGATAAAATCAGTCTTGTTGCTGATCTGCAGGGGATAAGAGTGTGTCAGAACTGGTTTATAAACCAATGTCTTCAATTTAGAAGATAAGGCACTGAACTCATGGACTATGTAAGGAATTTGAGATTAGGCAATGTAATTCCTTAAATTCTCAGTAGATTTCTGACCTTCAAACCAGTGAGTAGGCTCATGTAGGGAAGCTGTGTTCCTCAGGATGCTGGGCTCAGGAGGAGCACAGGACATTCAAGGGACAGGCTGTATCTCAAATCCTTTATTCATCAGAGCAGAAGTGTCTGGTGCAGACTTGTGAGGAGATGTCTTCATCCTGACTGGAAGAATGTAGGCATGTACAAATTTCTTTCAATAAGTTGAGTAAGGATGACTCTGGATTTGGTTGTGGAGCCCATTTTTTTTCCATCAGACTTCAAGAACTTATTCATAAAGTAGATTTGTTTTCTTCTTCAGCTGAAGAAATCTTAACCCTCACTTGTTGGTTGGAGAAACCACCAAGCTGTAGGATGATTTGGGTGGGCACTCTCACACCTTCGTCTGTCACAGACAGGAATTGCTCAAGGCCAAAGGATTGAACCCTGCAGGGTTAGCAAGTCAAGGTATCCCCAGTTTTTGGGCCTGACTCACAAGATGTGTTGTGAAATCTGGAATAGATAGTAATTAATGTAAACTCAAGATGAACAGTAGAAAGAAAACTGTGAAGGAAGTTCACCAGAAAAATGTTTATTTGCAGATTGCCTTTGAAGTCATATAGCCATATCGTAGGTATGCCACATGATGGGCCCTCCCAAGGCATCTGCTGCTCCCATCAGGAAACATCTGCGCTAATAAAAGCTGTGTGGTATCGTTGCCCCAGGTCTCAGTTATGCAGAGTCTATATCCATAGCCAAATCATGGACAGTGATATCAGCCACTGACTTTGCAAGTAGTTCAGCCCATATCAGCTAACTTTGCAATGAGTCTCTACTGTGCCTGTGTGCAAGCATGAATCCATCTTTTCATATATATCTGGCATTTTTAGAAAACAACCATTTTGACAAAACACTGTCAGCATAGCTTGAATAACAGATTTATTAAAAAAAAAAAAAAAAAAAAAAAAAAAAAAGATTTAGTTCTAACATAGCTTTTAAAGAAAAAAAAAATCGTTCTAACATAGCTTCTAAAGCAAATATAATTTCCTTCCCTAAACAAAATCTAGATATACAGATTTGTTATTTATGGAATAAATAAATGTGGCACAACTGTCTTTTAACTCCTGAGTCTTGCATATGTGAAAAATGGTCAGAGTGGGAGCAGAGGGAGTTGTAGACTGTTATTTTTAGGAGTGCCTTGTGTTGTACTTCATTCTTTTTCCAGGGCTGTTCCTGGCTAACTTTCCCATGAGTTTTTAACCTCTTGCTCTTGTTCTCTTATGTAACAGGAAACAGGCTGACAGGAACAAATAAAACACAGCATATCTGATAGTTGCACTCAGAGGAGAGGTTGATTTAGTTAGCCCTGCCTTCTCTCCTCCAGAGCAGATGCATTTGGAGATTCAGATGTGCTTCTGTTCCTCTCCAGTTGTTTCCCGGGAAGCAGTGACTTGTTTGTGCTCAGCAAGTGGCACCGAAGTACCGCAAATATGAGAAAACAAATGCATTTCTTTTAAGGTTGAAATCTGTGGTGGTGTCATGTCCTGGGATTGTGGATTTAAGTATCTGTTTGCTCTTTCTCCCACCCTTAAGGCAGGAGTTTTATGCAAGCTTCAGGGAAGAGATGACATCGGACGGATTGAGCTGGTCCAAAAGCTGGCGAGAGAGAACTGCCAGTTTTTGCAGGCGGATAGAAAAGCACTGGAGAAGGCAGAACAAGTAAGACATTTCTTATTTGGGTTTTTTGTTTCTTTCGGGTAGGGGAGGAAGATTTAGGTCACAAAACTGAAATAGCAAAGCTGATGGTCAGAATCCAGGGCACACATTAGTCATGGAGCTGTAGCTGCTCTCCTCTGGCATTTACATTTCTCTAAAGTGCGTTCAGGTCAATAATTGTCAACACACTTAAATTATTATGTTGTCATTAACTGTCAGATGCTGTTATTAATATCTTATATTAGGATACAGCAGATGATTTCAGGATGCTTTTTACCAAATTGTTGGGTTTTACGGAGTATTTAAATAATGTATAAGGCATATGAATGCTTCAAGTACTCTAAATTATCTTAAAATTACTGTAGATATATTTGGATGCAAGTATTGGCTGAAACTTTTCAGCATGAATTAAAAAGAATGGTCTGGATAGGGAGTTCAGCAGTATGTGTTTTTTTCTTTTAAATTGTGTTTTCAGTCACAAGTTACACTGAAGAAAGCAGCATTCTGTTTATTGCTTCTGAAAGCACTTATTCAAATGTTAATAACTGGACTGAAAATTCACAGAAACTTGACTGCTTTGCTTATAGCACGTCTCCTAATTTTGTTCTCCTAGTAAAGATTTCTATTCTGATTGCATATTCATCTGAAGGTGCAGAGGATAATAACTGCAAGAAACAACAAAAAACCCACCTAGTCTTCATGTCTCTTGTCATTATGTCTATGCAATTTATTCCATTTTCTGCTCACTGGACAGTAGAAAAAAGACTTGTACTTTAGAAAAGAAATACTTTTCAGCTCATCTGCAAGTTCATTCCTACTGAAATAAGGCTGTACACAGGAAAAGAGGATGATGAAGTATTATTTCAGAGCTTCATGCTGTTCTGTTCAGCAGCATGGAGGGTCTGGTCTGGTGTAGTGTTATTGTATCAGTAAGTGTGCAGAAGAGAGGAGGGCAATTAGCAAAGGCTAATTACCCAAGATTAAATTGTTTCTCAGCTGACCCTCTAGCATTGGATGTCTGGGAGAATTTCTATATATCTTTAAACTGTATCCACAAAGCACAATTAAAAGTTGAGGTGCTCAAGCAAAGAAGATTTTAAACCGGGGCAGATTTCTATTGTGTTTCAGGATTTAGAAACAAGACTACAGATATGTGGGCATAGATGAGAGGGGGATGTTGGGACTGTTACTCAAAAAATTCAGTGGATATTTTTGCTGCTACTCTGGTCATTGCAAAGGGTGCTGTGGAGTCAGCTGCAGCTCTGTAGCTGCACAGATTACAGTACAGTTCCAAAAATGGAAAGGAAAGCAGCACTCAGCTTTTCTTCTCCTTTTGAAAAGTATGGTACTTAGGAGTTGCTGCTATTTAGGAGATGAGTGACTTCAGTTTAGCAGGAGCTCAAGCAATTTGCTCATACCTGTCCTGAGCAGTATAACACAGCAATTACTGCTCTCAGACAAGGATATGCCTTTAGACCTTTAGGACACACTTTTAGAGGTGCCAGCAAAGAGAAATGTTGCCTGAGAGACTGCAGAAGCCCAGGTCATTCCTCATGTGCCCTTTCTTTCTTGGTGGGGAATGTCCTACAGCTAGTGTTGGCAATAATAAATCATGGTGTGCTTCTTCCCCCTGTTCTGCATTCTGCTGGTTGTTGTAGGGTGGATCCAGGCAGCCCATGCCCAGATATAAGAGAGACCTAAAGTCCTCGTTGTGGGTGTGTCTGGTAAGCCCCCAGGTACACTACTGACTTCATTAGGAATAGTCACCAAGAAGGCACCCTAAACATGGGCGAGGTTTGTCGTAGCTTCTCAGTTTAGCTGACTCAGGTAACTTTCACTGGAAAAAATGCACACATTGCCATGGCAGGGCAATGGGTTGCATATGTTCAGGAAGCCATGAGCTTCCATCCCTTCCTCTCCCTCCCTTCCTCCCGTGTGCTCTGAGAGCTGATCCAGTGCACGTGCAGGTGACAGGATTTGACTGGCTGGGCAGGGTTCACTGCTCCAGGCAGATATCCCCACTCTTCTCCAAGGAGAAAAGCAGCAGGCTGAAAATTGTAGTGAATACTGCTTGGATCCAGGATTTCAGCCCTTCCCATCTCGTCCTGCTGCTACAAAAGTGATGGCAGATTCATTGGCATTGGCTTACTCTCCAGTCCCTTGGGCTCACTGCAAATGTTCGAGGAACAGCATGTTCAGGGCGTGGTATCCTTATTATGTGTAACATGCCCATCTTTCTTTTTGTTTTTATTTTTAAAAGCATGGCTTATTTGAAACTGCGTTCTTTGTAACACAGGGTGATGGGCACCCAGTGCAGGAGTAAAATAGAGATGCTCTGTACATTTTCCACAGGACCCTCATTTCTCAGCAAGTATCCCAGCACTAAAGCTTTTACCAGCTTTCCCTCCTGGGGAGCTCAAACTTGGCTTTCTTGGATGATCTGCCTTCCTCAAAGGAATGGCATGCAGTCTGTAAATGAGAGGCCTGAACACCCTGCCAGGCTGTTCTCCCTGCCCTTGGAGAGCCTGCTATACAGGCTGGTTCCCTGGCAGCCCAGCTCAAAGCAGAAATGCTGCTGGCTTGCAGGGCTCTGTGTTTATCAGCCTGGGCCAGTGTCACTGTTAAAAGCTAAAAGGGGCTTTATAACCTGCCTGGAAGTTAAGCAAAAATAGCCAGTGGGAAATTTTGCCTGAAACAGAGTTCTCTAGTTTGTTCTCCTCTAGGAAGATGAAAAAAAACCAAAATCCCAACTTGGAGTTAGAATTGTGCATATGCATACTTCCTCTCTACATGTACTGTGTCCCAGGCATGTGATGGGAAATGGAGTTGTGGTTCTGGTGTTATACCCACCGTGCTTCTAAAGCAGGTCTCTCCAGATAAGTACAGCCTCACATGAGATTCCAGCATTAACAGCAAGTATAAATGTATTATAATTGAGCTCCGATGATTCCTGTGCTTTCCTATAAAGAAGAAAGGTTCTCAGCCTAATTGAAGAATTTGGTACTGATTTGGTAGCCTGATAACTCTTTCCTATACAGTGAGTGAGGTGTGCAATGTGATAGGGAGCGAGACTGATTGATTATGAGGACTGGTAAACTCTCCTGTCATTCAAATAAATAGTCACCATCCTCATCTGAGTTTGGGTATGGAAGTTAATGACTCACTTAAAGAAGATAGATGACACATGGATGCACAAGAGGTTTTTTGGCAGATAAAGTTCCTAAAGGTGTTCTTTGAGGAGAGGTGTTGGGTGTTTGTGGTCCATAAGGAACAGGTGAAGCGTGGACTGGTTTGGGTTAGTTCAGGAGATGAAATATAATTATTTTTTCTCAGAAAAAGCAGATGGTCAGGAAGAGGGAATGTAAGTGACAGCTGGCTGGCTCACTGGAAGAAAGCTTGGTTTGGAACTAGTTGGGTGGGAGAAGGGATTCCTTTAGTCTGGCTGTATTCTGGAGGGTGTAAAATTGGGGTATATATATCTATATCTGTAAGATACAGATGATTTGTACAAAATCAGAAAGTCCATACTGCTTTTTTTTTTAGTTTTCTGGTATGCTATCATTTTGCATTTATGGTCTAAATGAAAAAAAAGAGCTTTGAATAACTGTATTAATTTAAAAAGTTCTGTGCTCAGTTTCTGTTATATGTGAGCCGCTAAATTGATGTTGACACTGGAAGCTGACAGTGACCAGGTTAGATTGGTATATTGGAACTGGTGTTCCTTGGTAGCACACAGTGCCAACTTCTTCTCTGGTAAATATAGCATTTGAAAAGCGCTCTAACCATAATGGTGCTCACAGACTTGTAGGGAAAAACAAAAACTAATGGTGATTTTTTCCCCACTCCCTCTTCCTAATGAGTTAGAATAAAGTACTTAATGAAGGCACTGAACCTACCGTATGTGTTAGGCTCCCTAAAACTTCAGCTTTGCAAATGAGTAGAAAGTAAATAGAACTAAATAAGCTTCTAAATAGGCAGATAAGCTTCTTCTCTGTGCTTTTGCATTCCTACAATGCATTGATAAATAAATAAAACAAAATTATTGTCTAAAACACACAGAAATTATTTTAATATCAAATGTGGGGTAGCGTAAAAAAAACTATGCAAGCTTGCAGTTCTAATTTTATCATTACATGCAAATCATACTCATAAGCCTAGGGAAATGCGAAACTGGATATCTGTATTTTTATATAATTTAAATATTTCATTTCCTTTAAAAAATTGCTTTGACAGAAAATAGATGAAAAATCTGTATTGAAATATTCAGCTATAGAGCAAGCCAGCTTTTTGGACAGGTTTGCTTATTATTAGCATTAATTATACTATAGAAAGCAAGCTGTGTGTGTAAAGTCACTTGAAGTCATTTATCATGGCTTTTTTTCCCCTCCAGCATACATTTGGGATGCATTCAAGGCATATTTGCACTAAACCATAGTTTTTGAAATTCCTTTTAGTCAACTATAACTCGAATAATGCCTTTGTAATAGATGTGAAAATGTGTTGTACAGTATTTCCAGTTATTATATGAATAAAGTGTTGCATTCATTAAGAAAATCATGGCTTATAGTGTCATTGTTTAAGTAAAATTGTAAAAGGGCTTTTCACCTCAGCAAATGGAGAGAATATTCTTTAGATTATAGTATCATTTTCATAGTCAGATCAACTGAATAAGATGTTCACAAACTGACAGTAATGTTCCAAGGAAGTTCTTACAGTACTTTGCTGCATCAGGAGAAAGGGGAACACTTCCTAAATCCACCCTGTAATCTCTTTACAGATTAATCTATATATTAGTTAGAATTACCTGCTGTTTAAAAGAATATAAGTATTACAGCTTGGGTGTATTGATTCTGTGGCTTAATTCAAGATGAAAGAGATATTTTATATGAGGCAGGTATGTTTTCAGAAGGACAGTTCTGTTAATTTGCTGGGTACTAACTTTTGTAATCAGTGGTCTCATTAGAAAGACGATTTGCTCCTTGAAGCAGGTTAGTGGTTGAGCT